TTAAAACAGCCGCGGTTTTACAGATAAGACACGTGGCCAGAAAAACATAAAGATTTACAGTAAAGTCAGACTTGGATGAAGAAAATCTCTAAAGGTTTACAGTGTGTTTAAAAATATACATGAGATTGAGAGAGAAAATGAAACGACAAAATGGTAAATAAATACAAAAGCCGGCATTGTGGCACACGCCGGTAGGATTTACTCCAGAGGCAGAGGCAGGCAGAATTCCAAAGAGAAACCCTGTCTCAGAAAAAAATAAAATAAATAAAGTAATAATAGATAAATAAATAAGCCACGTAAAGATGGAAAATACACAGAGAGTCTGGATACTGTACGCTATTATGTTTTTCAGTTTTTTCATTGCTAAGGAAGGAACTGCTACTAAAGTACACTTGATTATAAATGCTGCTAAATTAATCCAACTTCTATCTTTTGAAAATGCCTTGACTTCAAAATTTAAGTATAAGGATATGTTACTTGGAAAAGGAGATTTTACTTATGTTTCCACAGAAAATGAAAAGCTGAGGATTCCTTCCAGGCTTCTGTGGTTCGACGAACCAAGACCCCCGGAAGCAGTGGACCAGGTGTTCCAACAATCGAAACAGCTAAGATGATGCAGTTTTACAGGCCCCGAAAATACGGACTGATACAGGTTTCTGAGTTTTGTCATGATCCTCATGGTATGAACAGCGCCCCCCTCCAGCATGAAGCAGTTTGGAATGAGCGACGTCCTAATTCCCATCTTGTTTATAAATCTCCTCTCAAGGAAAGCTTCTCTTAACACTAAGTAGCCCAGACTGGCCTCAAACTTTCAATAATTCTCCTGTCTCTGAATATTGTTTCCTCCTTTCTAAATATTGAGAGTATAGGAGTATGCCACCATGCCTGGCTCAAAATTTTTTACTTTAAAAAGTTTTTATCCAGGTGTAGTAGCTCATTTCTGAAATCCCAGCACTTTGGAGGTAGAGGCAGGAAGATCAATAGTTCAAAGTCAACTTGGGATGCATTAGATTCTGCTTCAAAAGCTGTTCTTCCAGCTGGGTGTTGGTGGCGCAGAGGCAGGTAGATCTCTGTGAGTTAGAGGCCAGCCTAGTCTACAGAGCGAGTTCCAGGACAGCCTCCAAAGCCGCAGAGAAACCCCATCTCCAAAAATAAATGAATAAATAAATAAATACAAAAGAAAGTTGCTCTTGCAAACTGGACATGGCATGGGGCCATTCTTTTTTTAAATATTAATTTTCTTAAAGTGAATTTTAAAAATCCACATAGCCAATTGTTTCCCAGGAAAATTGTAAGGATTCACACTCCCATCCAAATGCTATCACCTCACTAGCGTTTCAATCTGTCCTTTCTTTTCACATATTTCTTTCTACAATATATTCTGATGATCCCTAAATCTCTATTTGTACTACATTCAGATGATCCCTAAGTCTCTATCTCTAATCCTCATCATGCCCTCAAGCACCAGCAAGAATTTTCAACTGCCAGCTGGACATCGACACCTGCATGTCTTCTAAACAACTTTGATTTATTTTAACTGAACTCATTTTCTCTCCTCTTCAATATGCTCCTCTTTCTGTAATTCCAATGTTGATTGATGGTGCCTGGTCAGAAAACCAGGGGTCATTTTCAATTCCCTCCTTCTCCTCCTTCCCCAAATAGTAACAATAGTGAATAGTTACCCAAAACTCCATTGTGCACATAAGATATTTTATTCCATCCAATTCTCACAACAGCTGCAAAGGTAGCTTTTAGGTTTATTTCCATTGTACAAATGAGAAAACTGTACAATTTACTCAGGTTTACACAGATGGGGGCAGGGATTTAAATCTAGTCAGTCTCAGTCATGACTCACACATTTAATTAAGTTCTAAGCTGTATCGTCACCATATCTAATACAAACCCTAATTCATTCTCCCATAATTTTTTCTTTAGCTTTTTTCTTGTTTTTTTTTTTTGAGACAGAGTTTCTCTGTGTAGCCCTAGCTGTACTGGAATTATCTCTTATAGACCACGCTGGCCTCAAACTCAATGATCCACCTGCCTCTGCCTCCCGAGTGCTGGGATTAAAAGTGTGTGCCATCACTGCCTGACTTCTTTAGCTTTTTTATGTATACATGTATGTGTATGCTTCTCTCTATGTATACCAAGCAAGCACCCTCAGAGGTTAGAAGAAAACCTCAGAACTCCTGGAGCTCAAGCTGCTCCAAGTTGTGAGCTACCCAATATGGATGCTCAGAACTGAATCCAAGTCTTCTGAAAGAGTAGCAGTTGCTTTTAAACCCTGAGCTATCACTCTAGTCCTCATCATTCTCTTATTGTTGGTTCCTTTGCAATTAGTCACATTCAACTTAAATACATTTTTCCATGTTATTCGAAAAAATATCCTGTCTGAAACAAAGGACCATACCGTTCTCATTTCTTTTCTCTTAAGATCCTTCAGTGGCTCCGTATCACCTATCATAAAGTTAGAGGATGCTCTGCTTAACATAGAGGGCTCACTCTTTTCTGCCCATCCCCAGACACCCTATATCTCAAAGCATTTCCATTACACAATCTGAATTGGTGATAATTGCCTAAAAATACCAGAGTTTCTTCCTGTGATGGCTTTAAATATGTTATTTCCTGTGCCAGAAATTGCCTTTCCCCATTTCCACTATTTCTCCTTTTAAGCCTCAAAAAGTTTTTTTTAAAGATTTTAAAATTTTATGTATATGAGTGTTGTGCCTGTATACAAGTATGCCTGGTGCATAAGGAGGTGAAAAGAGGGCAGTGGATCTCTTGGAACTGGACTTGTGAGCAACTATGTGGGTGTTGGAAATCAAATCCAGGTCCCCTGCAAGAGCAATAAGTGCTCCTAACTGCTGAGCTATCTCTCCAGCTCCCATCCTTTGTGCCTTTTCATGTGTTAAACTCTGATATGTCCTCCTCTAGGAAGTCTTCCCCAATTTTTCCAAATATATATGTCTTTGTTTTCTTTTGTCGAAACAGGGGCCTATTATAAGCCAGGCTGGTCTCAGACATGCTGTGTAGCAGAGGGTAAACTCTTGAAACTCCCGAGATTCCCAGTTCCTGGGATCATAGGCATGTACCACCATGCCCAGTTCAGTTACATAGCTTCTATATGATACTTTGAATGCTTGTGTATATTTGTCACATTAGTTTTGTTTACTTGTCTTTGCTTAGAAAGTTAACTCATGGTTGGTCTTGTGGTGCACACCTTTAATCCCAGCTCTTGGGAGGCAGAGGTAGGAAGATTTCTGTGAGTTCGAGGCCAGCCTGGTCTACAGAATGAGTTCCAGGACAGCCAAGGTTACATAGAGAAGTCCTATCTTTAAAAAAAGGAAATTTAGTATAGTGCTTGGCACATAAGTAGTTTATAGATCTCAGTTATATTGAATTAAATAACTTAATTGTCAAATTGTAAGCCCATGTGGTTTGTTCAAAGAATTCAATCATCAGTGATATAAGAATTTTTAGGAGGGGAAGTTAGGTGAAGGGAGAAGGAAAGATGACCTAAAATTACCACTTGTCTACCCCTTAATATGAGATGTGTAGCACTAGAGAGATGGCTCAGTGGTTAAGAGCACTGGCTACACCTGCAGAGACCCAGCTTTGATTCCCAGCACTCATATGGTGGTTCACAACCATCTATAACTTCAGGTCCAGAGGATCTGACATCCTTTTATAGACTCCTTGGGCACTGCATTACATGGTTCACGAACATATATGCAAGCAAAATATGCAGAAACATAAAAATACTTATTTAAAATTAAAATATTAAAATAAATAATTAAAAATATGGGACATGTATAAATCAGTTTTGAAAAATGTACATTTAAGGGCTGGGGATATAGCTTATTTGATAGACCCTGGATTTGATACCCAGCACTGCACAAAACTGGGTGTAGTGGAGCATGCCTATAATCCCAATATTTGAGAGACACAGACAGGCAGGAGGGTCAGAAGTTCAAGGTCATTCTCAGCTACAAATTAAGTTTGAAATCAGCCTGGAATACAGGAGACAATGTCTCAAAACTGAAACAAAACAAAACAAAACAAAAAAACTAATATTCCTAGCTGGATATGGTGACACAGACCAGTAAGATCAGAAATCAAGAGGCATCGACAGGAACATTGCTTCAAGTTTGAGGGTAGCCTGGCCTACATAGCAAGTGCCTGGCTAGCTGGGGTAAATGTAAGACTCTGTCTCAGCATGTACATGTGTACAAATACATTTTACACATATGTATTTATGTTTTTCTATAGATGTTCTTATGTAGACACATATCTTCATCATAGGTTGCAAGGAAGCTCAGAGTATAGCCAAGTATGGATGGGGTTCTTCGGATATAGACAGAAATTGCGAAATACGTGTCCTGAAATAAAAGAGATGAGTGCACCTGGAATTAGTTGTTATGTAGCAACATGTGGAGAATGAAGGTACACCCACTATTCCTGAAAAGCGAGAATATGAAATCATTATTGTTTACCCAATTCGAATTTGCTGCTTCCCTGGCACCACAATGTATTGCTTACTGAATGTTCAGTGGTGTGTAGCTTGAACTGAAACTATCTGTGGCACAAGAAGTGGGGCCGCATACTACATTTTTTTTGGTACTGTCGTTGGAACCCCACCTTCTAGAAACCATTCTATTTTCATGAAATCCGTACTTATTTAGGACCTGGAGTTTCAGCCTATCACATATGGATAATTGCTCACGGGGCAGTGCCCACTGCTGATTGATGCACGGGACGAGACAATTTCTGGGATTGAGGAATACAGATTGGTGGAGCCTGAGTGTGGTGCTTCTCAAAGTATTGGACAGGGCGTATTACAGATGCAGGTTCCGGGGCAGCTACCAGTACCACCCGGAAGTCTGAATGACGCTTTCACCATAATGTATAAGCCCTAGTCAGCATGGTGGTTATTCAGGGCGACGGGCGGGAGACTCGGGCGGTGTGTACGTGCACGCATGCGTGTGCGCGTGCGCGTCGCCGCCGTCTGTGGGTTGGCTGGTTATTTTGCAAGCGGGAGGGGCCGTGCGCGCTCTTGCCTCAGGCCTCTGTCCCCCACCCCCCTCGCCGGTACTGGTCTCTTCTTCGGAAAGATGTCGGACACGGCAGTGGCTGACACTAGGCGCCTTAACTCGAAGCCTCAGGACCTGACCGATGCTTATGGGCCGCCAAGTAACTTCCTGGAGATAGACATCTTTAATCCACAGACGGTGGGCGTGGGCCGCGCGCGCTTCACCACCTATGAGGTTCGCATGCGGGTGAGTCACGGGGTGAGGGAGACAGCTGAGGGCAGGCGACTCGGGAGGGGGAGGGGACATGGGACGACTAACGGCGGGGAAGCTTGGAGGGGGTCACATGAGGGTTAGGGCTTGAAAGGTTTGAAAAGAAGGTTGCAGACTCAGTTGTGACCTGAGGGTACAGAAAACTCCAGAGGGGACTTCGGGCGGGGGCGCAGGAAAACAAGTACTCACGAGGCAGAAGTGAAGCATGGCTGGACAGGGTGTGGAAGATGGACAAAGATTAGTGAGGAATTCAAGTCGATTGGAGCCATGATTGACAGAGGGACGAAAGGGGAGGGTGGAGGAAGGCTGGGGGATGGAAAGCAAAGGCACTGTATCGCTGGGTCCCATAACTAAACTAGGTTATGGAAGTCAATCTAAAGGCGGGGGTGGGGGGACGGGACGGACGGGGGAGATCTCTCTGGGATGATGGAGTTAAACAAACCTTTTAGTTATAGTTATAGGAAAGAGTACTGGAAAGGGAGACAGCGGGCTTGTGAGAGAGAGCAAAAATAGAAAGGCAATCTTGAGACGGAATGCTTTGCTGACTTGTTTAAGATTTACATCTGAAAGAGAGAAATGTTTTATGCTTAAGTTTCTTAGGTACCACAATGCTGTGTCTTACGTGAAACCCAGCCCTGCACTGGGATTGGTGGGTTGTCAGTTGCTGCTCCCATCCTCTGCTGATCCTTTAGATTTGAAGTATCCAGAAAGTTTACTTCAGTTTTTATTGACTCTCGCTTATTTTTTTTTCTTTTTTGTAAAAGGCCATTTGCCTTTTCTGTTCGTGGTCTGTAGTTACTTTAATACATGCCATTTCAGAACTGCTCTAGGAATGGCTTCTTCCAGTTGCACCCCAGGGGACTTTCTTCTCCTAGTCCACAGTGCAAGGATGGAATGTGCAGATTGGGTACATGGTTCACACGTTCTTTTCCTTGTTGAAGTGCTACAGGTTAAAGAAGTTAAGAATAATCTTTTCAAGTTTTCCTTGTGTTTTCTTCTCAGTTTAGACATCCAAGATATTCTTTGTGAATAGCATTGAAGATCCAAGAGACATATGGTGTTCTCATTTATAGAAGAATTGAATAAGAATGTGTATTCTACCTGTGCTTGACAATCTTAGAGAGAAGTGGTAGTCTCCAAATTGAAGGGGGAAAAGTAATAGCAGCATAAGGAAAGCTTGGGGTTTTTTGTTTTGTTTTGGTTTTTGGTTTTCGAAACAGTGCTTCTCTGTGTAACAGCCTTGACTGCCGTGGAATTAGCTCTGTAGATCAGGCTGGCCTCGAACTCACAGAGATCTGCCTGCCTCTGCCTCCCAAGTTGTGGATTAAAGGCGTGAGTCAGTACACCTGGGTAGGTTTTAGTTTTTGTATACATTTTTAAAAAGTAGAAATCTGGAAAGCATGTAGTATAAGTAGTTTTTCCAAGTGCACATAACAGTATCAGATAGGGCTGGGATTTGAAACCAAGTCTCAAATTCCAAAGTCCATGTTCTTTCCACTACTTGGTTAAAGCTTAGTTGCAAAACTTAGTATGCAGAACGTACACTGAGCTTTTTCATCAATCCCTTTGACAGTTCTAGTTATATAATGTTGATAGAGTTGATGGTGGTTCTTCATTCTGTGGGTTTCAGTTGATTTGAGGCATTTACTGTTTTATTGAACTCTAATTTTTTGAAAAAATATATAAAATCATTTGTATTTTTTTTCTGCTGCTGGGAATTTAATTCAGGCCTCATACATGCTGAGCACATCTTCCATTGATTACACCTTCAGCTCCATATAATAAATATTGATTAAGCTATTAGTCAGGAATGGAGCCTGCCTGCCTGAGGAGTCTGGAGAGGTGCTATGGTGGCCTCACATCATTATACATATTGATATGGATTTTTCTTTTCTTTTTTTTTTAAGATTTATTTATTTATTATGTATGCAGACAGGCCAGAAGAAGGCATCAGATCTCATTACAGATGGTTGTGAGCCACCATGTAGTTGCTGGGAATTGAACTCAGGACCTCTGGAAGAACAGCCAGTGCTCTTAACCACTGAGCCATTTCTCCAGCCCTGGATTTTTCTTTTCTTTATTCTCCCCTAAATAAGGTTTCTCTGTGTTGCCCTGGCTGTCCTGGAACTCATATTGTAGATCAGGCTGACCTCAAACTCAAGAAATTCTCTTTCTTCTGCCTCCCAAATGCTGGAATTAAAGGCTTGTACTACTGGGCCTGGTTCATATGGATGTGCCAATGTGGACTTGAATTTTGTGGGTTTTTCTCTCCTTTTACTTTATTTTGTGCTGAGAAGAACCCCAAAGCCCTCAATATCCTGTGTTATACAATTCTGGCTTCCTCATATGATTTGTAGTTTGGAGCCCAGGGACTAGCCTTCTATATAGTAGCTTTTTTTCTTAGATGGCTAGGTACTGAGATGGAAGGACAATATTTTTACCTTCCTTTGAAGGTAAGGAAAACACAGGTTTTTTTGGTTTGTTTTTTAGTCAAAGCCCATAAATGGCAGTTTTTAAATTAAAAACTTTAAAAGAAGATTTATTTATTTTATGTCTGTGTATCATCTGCATCCTGGAACTGGAGTTAGGAGTTATGAGTTATGGATAGTGGTGAGCTGCCATATGGGTGCTGGGATTGAACATGGGTCCTTTGTATGAACAAGTGCTCTTAAACACTTTCTAGCCCCTTTAAAAGTTTTTTTTTTATTTTCTGAGACAAGGTTTCTCTGTGTACCTTTTGGAGCCTGTCCTGGAACTCACAGATAGCCACTTGCCTCTGTGTCCCCATGTGCTGGTAATAAAGGCATTCACCATCGCTGCCTGACCATTTAAAAATTTTTGAAATTACATTTCTATTTATTTTGTGTTCAGGGGAAGGGTTGTAGGACATGCCAGGGGACAACTTGCAGGACTTGGTTCTCTCCTACCATATGGATCCTAGAAGTGGAACTCAGGCTGTCAAATTTGGATGCAGGCACCTTTACTTGCCCAGTAATCTCAGCAGCCTCCAGTTTCTTGTTTTTGTTTTTTCAAGACAGGATTTCTCTGTATCGTTTTGGGGGTTGTCCTGGAACTCAATCTGTAGATCAGGCTGACCTCGAACTCACAGAGATCCGTCTGCCTCTGCCTCCCGAGTGCTGGGATTAAAGGCGTGCGCCACCAACTCCCGGCAGCCTCCAGTTTCTTATTTATTCTTTTTTTGTGGTTGTTTTCTGAGTTTCATGTAGCCTAGGCTGGCCTAAAACTCACTGTGTAGCTGAGGATGATGGAACTACTGACCCTACTATTTCCACTTCTCAAGTGCTGGTGTTATAAGTCTTTGCCACCATGTTTGGTTACTTTTTTCTTTTGTTTTGTTTTCCGAGACAGGGTTTCTCTGTGTTGCTTTGGAGGCTGTCCTGGAACTCGCTCTGTAGACCAGGCTGGCCTCGAACTCACAGAGATCCACCTCCCTCTGCTTTCCAAGTGCTGGGATTAAAGGTGTGCATCACCATTGCCCGATCCATGTTTGGTTACTTGCTTATTCCTTTTTAAAAGTGTTTTTGTTCTTTGAGAATTGCATACAATGCATTTTGACCATATTCACTCCTACTTTCCTCCTAAATCTTTCCTGACCCATCTTCACCTCCATATCTCTCCAACTTTGAGTTGCTTTTAAAAACAAAACAGAAGTATCCAGTCCAATTTGTGTTGCCCATATACTTCTGGGTGTGGGATCATCCACTGGACCACTGGGGACATACCTAGGGCCACACTCTAAAGAAAGCTGATTTGCCCTCTCTTATTTTGTTTATTTTTTTTAAAGAATTGTTTAGATGTCAAAAAGTTATGTATATCAGATTCCATTTAAACCTATTGATATTTCTTAGAACTTGAAGATTTTGGTAGAGTTGGAGCTAATGTCAGTTGGCCAGTTATTTGGTTAAAGGGGTTATTTCAAGACTTGGAAACTGTAAAAATTGATGTAGTAAGGACCTTGTGAGGTTCTACCAGAACTCCAAGATATTCCTTTCTCGCTAAGAGGCGAGAAGAGATGGCTCCTTTTATTACCCACTCATTGCTCTGAATTGACTGGCAAGAAATATGATCTAGATTAACATACATATTTGACCATTTTCATTTAGAACTTGTAGACAGGAGTGAAGATTTGGGCATTTTATGTGTTATAAGTTCCTCTTACCACTAGAGCCTGAGGAGTCTTCTAAATGATTAAGATGTAGGAATAAGTAAGCTACAGAAAGCTAACTTATATATAAAGGCTATTCATTCTGCATTTTTTAAGATGAAAAGGGTAACTAGATACATTCTAGTTTCTATTGAGTAATTGAGACTTGATACCTTATATTTTGGGGGAAGCAATGGTTGTCATGATTTTTTGTTTGTTTGTTTGAGACAGTGTCTTACCATGTCATCCTGGCTAGTCTAGAACTCTTTATGTAGTGGCCTGGCCTCAAACTTACAGAGATCTGCCTGTCTCTGCCTATCATGTGCTGATATTAAAGGGATATACCACTATGAATGGTCAGGAAACTGATCTTAAGATCATCATTTAGTCATGTAGACAACATACAGGATGTATAAAGTAGCGTCAAGAAAACCTAGGTGACACTTTAAACTGTGGAGGTGGAAGGATCAGAAGTTCAAGGTCATCCTCTGCTGCATACCAAAAACCCTTGGAAGTGGGGATGTGGGTGTATTTCAGTTGGTAAATACTTGCCTAGCATGTAGGAAGCCCTGGTTACGATACCTAGCACTGCATGAACTGGGTGTGGTGGTATACCCCTGTAATTTCATAAGGAGGCAGGAAGACAAAAGTTAAAGGTTATCCTCAGTGACACAGGGAGTTTGAAGCCCCCCAGGCTAGAGACAGGGTCTCAAGGAAACTTAACTTCAAAAGGGATCAGGGAGGAGGTAGACCACAATATACCTAGCTGGTATTACCAGGAAAATTTTTTGAATGAAGTGAGTATTGAGCTAGGACTTACAGAAAAGACTGGAATAGGAAGGCAGAGGTAAGCATGTTTTGGAGGTCTAGAGAATGATCCGAAGTAGCCATACTTCTGATTTTGAAAGAGTAAGTTTAATTATATGGCAAGTCAGTGTAAAAGAATAAATAGGAAGAGATAGAAAGATACCAAAATATTATCAAGTCAGGTACTCAACATATCCAGCAGAAATTGACTGGGGAAGCACCTTTAAGGCAGCTAGCTGGAGTTCTCCAAACAGTCCCAGACAGCAGAGTGTCCCCTCATGTGAGGCTTCCAAGTAAAAGAACAGATAGCATCAGAAAGGCATCCATAAGTTCCAGCAGAAACCATCTGGGGAAGTTAGGCAGTCAGCTGGAGTTCCTGATTGAGCTTTCTCTCCATGGCTGAGCTTCAGCTTTTCTCTTTCCCATTGCAGGCATTTTATATCACAGGATGAACATCTGTTGGAAGTAGCTTACCTTCTAGTTGTTCTCAAGACTGTTTTTACTGTTGGGGTGTTTTGTTGTTCTCTTCCTTCTATAGCACAGAGATAGGAAGGCAAGTACATCCCCAGACAGGGGGCCTTGGAGGACACTTTGAAACCAACATGTGGGTCTGAAATGGGGGTGGGAAACTCATATGAGCTCAAATAACACATGACTTACCAATATAATGTACATTAGAACATGACTCTGAGTCTTCTATGAAAATACATTTTAAATAGCTAAAGGATTTTATGTGTGTGTATGTGGTAGAACCAAGAGCCTTGAGCATGCTAGGCAAGTGCTCTTAACACTGAACTACCCTTCAGCCTCAGCAAGGGACTTCTGATCCTCAGTTGTGATATGATTGGGTATGCTAAGGATTAATACATACCTCGTGGTGTTTTGCAAGAGTTTTAGGTATATGGTCCATAGGAACAATTTTTCCTTTTTGTGTGATGCTGGAAGTCAAGCCTTGGTGCTCCTACAGAAGAGGTAAGTGCCCTACCACTGAGTTTTATCCTCAATCCACAGGAGCTGTTTCTTCATTGAGACTTTTCCAGGTGGTCCCCACAAATCGGTTGAACAGAACTTGTTTGGTTAGTTGTTATTTTTGAGATAGGGTCTCACCATGTAGCCCAGGCTGACCTGGAATTCCCTATGTGGCCTAGGTTGGCCTCAAACTTCTGATCCTCCTGCCTCAGCCTCCTGAGTGTTAAAAGTACATGCCACAACACCTGGCTTCTCTTCATTCTTTCTTCCCTGTAGACAAACTTACCCATCTTCAAGCTGAAAGAATCCTGTGTACGGCGACGCTACAGTGACTTTGAATGGCTGAAAAATGAGCTGGAGCGAGATAGTAAGGTACAGCTCATCCCTTAATTAATACCATTGGAGAAGGTGATCTACATAGGCTTAGAGTATAAGATCACAGCCCATAAAGTCTTGAAGTAGATAGGAAGGGTGAAAATATTTTTTTTTTTTTGGTTTTTGGAGACAGGGTTTCTCTGCGGTTTTGGAGGCTGTCCTGGAACTCACTCTGTAGACCAGGCTGGTCTCGAACTCACAGAGATCCACCTGCCTCTCCTGAGTGCTGGGTTTAAAGGCGTGCGCCACCACCGCCCAGCGGGTGAACATATTCTTATAGACTCAATCCCAATATATTGGTCCTGGGGGATATTGAGACTTGAAAGAGGTTTAGGACAGGGTTTTTGTTGTTTGTTTTGGGTTTTGTTTTTTGTTGTTGCTTTTTTTCAAGACAGTTTCTTTTTGTCGCCCTGGCTGTCCTGGAACTGGCACTGTAGACCAGGCTAGGCTCAAACTCAAAGACCCACCTGCCTCTGCCTCCTAAGTGCTGGGATTAAAGGCATGTGCCATCATCACTGCTTGGCTGACTATTATTTTTAAAAGTGTGTGTGTGTGTGTGTGTGTGTGTGTGTGTGTGTGTGTGTGTAAGGGCTCATGCTGGCCAGAGGAGCAGGTTGTGTGTCTGTGCTATCTGCCTCACACATTTTAGACAGGGTTTCTCACTGAACTTGGAGCTAGGTCAGAAATCTCTGGCAATCCTCCCATCTCTACCCTCTACCCCCAGCTGGACTTTTTTGTTTGGATCCTGAAGTCCATATTCAGATCCTCATGCTTATTCAGCCAATGCTCTTCCCTGATTTGCCACCCCCTCAGCCCCATGAACAATATTTTTAACTATTATTTTGTTTGGTTGTTTGTAAAGTAACTCCTATAAGTGCAAAAATATGTCAAAGGTTGGCTAAATGCTTGGATGGTGCTGGATTGTTAAAGAAAAGTAAGAGTGCTTGAAGTTTATTTCCTTTCTTTTAAGATGGCAAATCTGTCCTTGTATAGAAATCAAGTTGGATCCATATGAGCCATCCTTACTGTTCTAAGGTCTTAGCTGGACCTGGGCATGGTGAATTCCTGGCCTAAAAAATTGAGATATACCTGGCAGGTGAAGCCAGGAGTATCAGAAGTTCAAGGTCATCCATGGCTACTTAGACAGTTTGAGGCCACCTTGCAGCTATGGGGGGGGGAGAGGGAGGGAGACAGAGAGAGAGAAGAGAGAGCTCATCTTTTACTTTCTCACTTGCTTTTTTCTTTCTTGCCCTCTCCAACTGGGCTGCTATTTGACTGCAGATTGTAGTACCACCACTGCCTGGGAAAGCCCTGAAGCGGCAGCTCCCTTTCCGAGGAGATGAAGGGATCTTTGAGGAATCTTTCATTGAAGAAAGGAGGCAGGGCCTCGAACAGTTTATTAACAAGTAAGCCTGGCTGCTCTGCTTGCTGTGTTTGCTATCATGAAAGTCTTTCTCCCCTCCCCATTTTCCTCCCCCTCTCCGTTACTGCTTTGTTCCATACTGTCCTCTTTCCCTTATTGCTGGGGATTGATTCCAGGGCCTTGTTTATGTTAGGCAAGGAACTCTATCTCTAAGCTATTTTACTCCCAGCCCATCATGATATTGTATATTTTTTTGTACTTTGTCTTTTTGTAATAGGTAATATGATGTAGTGGGCAAACTGGATAGTAAAAACTCCATTCCTGTGAATAAATTCTGATCCTGTATGTCAAGACCTGAGAGTGTAATGCATGTTTACCCTTTTAACTAGAATTTCCCTACCATGTCCTTCTGTTCAATTTTCCTTCTACCATATTACAGTTTAAGTCATACCCCACTGCTGTCCTCTAGAGGCTCAAACCAAAGGGCTGACTATGCCCTTTCTCCTCTCTTCACATTCCCATTCCCCTGTCAATTCTCTCTGATCCCAGAAACTACTGATAACCATTTTGGTCTCTTTATAGAATTGCTGGGCATCCACTGGCTCAGAATGAACGCTGTCTACACATGTTCCTGCAGGAGGAGGCAATTGATAGGAACTACGTCCCTGGGAAGGTGCGCCAATAGGAGTCCCTCTCACCACTTGCCCTCTACTTTACCTGCTGAAATGACATTGGTTTTTCCACTAAGCCTCTCTCTTTTTGATCTGAAGTTGGCTGCCCATCCCCTGGCCTGATAGACCGTCTTGCATTGTGCCCCTTGGTACCAGACTATACCATGTGGGCACTCTGTTAGTATCTCTTCTCTGAAGAGAGGTGGGAAACCACAGGCAGATGCTCTTTGCTTGGGGTTGGGGTGGGAGAGGGATTGGATTGGAAGGCAATTTTTGGGCATTTTACTCATGCCAGAAGGATAACCTTGGGGGGAGGGGTTTTGTGCCGGTGAGGCACTGGAATATATTACTGATGCTGCAAGTCTAGGGGCTTTTTCTTATTCTTAGATTTTACCAGGAACACTGAATAGGGAGAATCTCTGCTTTTCCTATCTGCATGAAAAATTTCCTATTGGGAAGGTGGGAAAGACCCAAAACTTGTTTTTTTCTAGGCCTGCGCCCAGTTTTCTCAGCAGTTTTTTTGGTTGGTTTTTCTCTCCTTTGTTGCTTTTCATGGCAGTAATCCTCCTAGAGTTTAAGCAGTGTGATATGTGGATCAGGGTGTTTGGGTTTTATGGGCCCATCATCATGGTTACTGCAAAGTCAAGAAAGCCATAGGGTAGTAGGCTGCTCTTATTGCCTAGCTCCTATCCCTTTATGGCTCCCTATTCTGGCTGTCTATATTTTGCTCTCTAGCTCATGAGTCAGTATGGGCCAGCAGTTTTCCCTCCTCAACCCTTGTGACTTTATGAATTAGCTTTGTGGGTTTTGAGGAATAAGAGCAACTTACCACTGCCAGGTGACTTCCTGAATGGTGGAGGGGGTCATGTTCTAGGTTCCTCTACGTGGTAAGGAAGAGCAACATCACTTTCCTCCTTCCATTCCTCTTTTTCCCATCTCATTTAGTGCTGTCCCAAGGGCAGAAGCACACACAACACAGCTTCTGATTTCTCCTAAGCACTTTGAGCTGTTGACTGGGGCTCAGAGGCAAGAGTTGTCTGTTGCCTTCCCCAGCTTGGTCACAGGGTTATTGAACTGCCTGCACTTGTTTCCTGTGGAACTCCAGTGTTGTTCCCAGACATTGAAACAGGGCTAGCAGCTAGATGTAGAGTGCCCAAATGTTAGAGGCTAAAACAGATTCTTGAGGGTGGCAACTCTCCTAGGCTAGTTTGGAAGGTGGTGGTTTATTTGCTGGGACCTGCTGTCTGTCCAAATGGTGGGATGAGAGCAAGTTAACTCTGATGCCAGGTGAAAGTTGGGACTCTTCACTTAGACTCCCTATCATGGAAGGATTTGTGTTTTCTTTGTAGGTCCTTGGGGAAAAGGATTGCTGATTCTGGTGTGATTCTGGTCAGAGAGATCAGGATTAGATTGTGACATGGGTCTTGGAACCCATCTCAGTGTTGAAGATCCTTGAGATAGATTAGCTCTCTAGCTGCTGAGCCCATGCTGGGGGCTGAACAGCCCCTTCCCACCTCACCAGTGTCTGTGTCCTTGCTGCCTTTTGATTTGTATCCTCTGTTACAGATATTTTTAAAAATATTTCTCCTTTCATTGTGCACAAGTGCTGAGACTCTGAGGCCCCATTTCTGCTGTGTATATATCCTGACTCGGGGCTTTTATTCAGCAAACTGTTCATTCTTCTGTCAGACAATGTCATATTCAACTCTGTTCATATTAAACCACTGTGAAGCAAGCCTCCGTTTTCCTCCTTAAGTTGTAAATTTACTATTTCCTAGTGCTGAGTGCATGCTGGGTATTGTGTAGAAGTCATGCCACATGGCCATTGTCCTGAGGTGATGAGTAAGCTTTGCATTTATATTACATTACAGAAAAACAGAATCTGGGCTGCTTATTGTAGTTTACCGATGGTTCCTTGTAACTTATAACTGACTTTGTCACATAAATAATGCATCTCTTTCCAGGAAGTAGCCATAAAATACCTGTGGTTTAGTTCAGATTTTGCAGATGTGATTTTTACGTTTGTGGAGTTTTGCTAATTTGAGTTGATGTATTTACATTATGTGTGTTTATATATGCATATGTAATGTGTCAAAACATAAACATACATAAAGACCCATCCTCTTGTACACCCACATATCACCAACAGTTTCTTTCATTGTCCTTTTACCTCATTTGATGTTGCTTCATTGTATTGTTTTTCAAAGAGATTTGATGCAGACAGAAAGGTCGGTGAAATCCTGAGAACTTCTGATGGGTCTATGTTTTCATTCAATATGGTCTTGTACAGAGTGGGTTCCAGGAGGGTTGAAATGGGGGAGATAGGGATCTTGTCATTTGGTAAATAAAATATAGTTTTAGAGCTTGACATGGTAGCACATGCTTGTAATCCCAGCATGTACGAGTGGAGGCAGGAGGATCAGGAGTTCATGGCCAGCCTTCATTAAATGGTGAGTTTGAGACCAACCTAACCAGTATGGGACCTTGTCCTCCTAGAAAACCTACTTTTAATTTAATTTAAAATGAAACAATGGTATAAAAAGTATGTTCAAAGGATGAGGACATTACAGAGACTTAAGAGTGATATTTGGTTTTAAATAAAAGAGGAAAGTGATCAAGAGATACAGCCTTCATAGAAAGCAGTATTACAGAATGAACAGGAGAATAGCTTGAAAATGTGGCTATAAAATAAAGTAGTAACACTATTTTATATAGCTAGTATTCAGCTAGGTACTTGCAGGGTAGGGTAGTCAAAATACAAGGAAGCCGAGTCAGTACATTCATTCTACTTCTTCATAGACTTCGGGATTCAAGAGCTCTTTATGACAAAAATGAGAGATAAACATGAAAGAAAAAGGTTCACCGTATCTAATTATCCCCTTTTCCCACTTACTCTGTTACCTGAGACAATGTTTCACTTTGTAGCCCATGCTGACCTGGAACTTGTGATCCTGCTGTCTGTGCCTTGTGCGTGATAGCACTGTATGGATGATTTCATTCTATTATTAATTTTAATTTTCAACAAGTTCAGTTTCTTCTGTTTGGAGGAAAATTGGCCATTTTAAACACAGTTACTAGGTCCTCTAAGAACCTTAAATCCAAGGCCAGTGAATGTTTGGTACTAATGAATCTCTTTTTTTCATAGCTCAGAAAGATTCAACTTTATGTTGGGTTCTAGGAGACAGAAGGTAATAACAAATCTTCCACATAGCTAGACCTAAAAGAAGCCTACATGTTAACATTCCAAAGATGCCTTTGACCTATTGGAGATGTGAAGCTGAGCTGGTAAAGGCGGGAGAGGTGAGCAACAACAGGCTTCACAGGGTTGTGTATGATACGTATCCTAGGTGACACACTTCTGTGTTGCAATACTTGGTGTAATAATTTAAACCAAACCACCTGCTGTGGAAAGTCAGTCCAGCTGCTCACTGAAATGGCTATTTCTTCATGTCCTTGTGGGCTGTTGAGTCACTCCTGGTATTCTCTTAGGCATAATAACCATTCTAATTTTCCTTCACATGTTTTTTTTAACCCTTTTATCTTTATAATTCTGAAATTTCTCCAAAGTCTTCACTTGTGCATAAGCAGAGAGTCTAAAACTGAGTACTACTTTAATTATAGCCTAAAGGTTAGGTGGTTGTTACTGATTATACATCCTTTTTTGAGGTGTGTGTGTGTGTGTGTGTGTGTGTGTGTGTAAGCTTTTTTTGAGATGGGTCAGGTACTTGAGGCTGGTCTTGAACGTGCTGTGGAGCTGAGTATATAGCTCCCCATCTTCTGACTCCATCCTCAAACATTGGCATTACAGGCATGTGCTACCACACCTGGGTTTTTTATTTGGTTTTAATTTTTTTATACAGGGTCTCAAACTCATGGGTGATCCTCCTGCCTCAGCCTTGTGAAGGCTTGGATTACAGGAGTTAAGTCAACATGCCCAACTTCAAGGTTACTTTTAAAATATAAATTCATGAATAATTTAGTTTGTGGTTCTTTGCTTCTCCCCTTCTGACCACCCAACACTCATCATTTATCTTTTCTTTTTTGCCTTGCTTATACAACAAATCATCTTAATTTTATTTTTAAATGTTTTCTTTCCTACTCGTGTGTGTGTTTATCTGTGCTTTTTAAAAAAATACATACTCATATAAAACATGCAAAGTATGAATAATTATCAATATCATTGATAAAAGGATTCTTTAAACCCGTTGAGGGCTTCTTTAAGTAGGTGGTTTCTATGGTGGCTTTATTTGTCTGTTTTTGACAATCTCATTCTAACACTGGCTAGCCTCAAACTCATGTAGCTCAGGCTGGCCTTGAACTCTTAAGAATCCTCTGGCTTAGCCTCTTGAATGCTGTCATTTATTGTTGTATGCCAACATGCCTGGCTCTTCTCTAGTGGTTTCAAATTTTTGTATGTAGATATAAATTTCTTTACCTAGAGAAACTGGAGGTAAAACGATAAGATGATTAACAGGAACTGCCAGCTAGAGATAGATTAAAAATTAGGAGAAGAGGGCTAGAGAGATGGCATAGTGGATAAGAGTATTTGGTACTCTTGGAGAGAAGCCTGGATTTAGTTCTCAGCACCTACATGATGGCTTACAACCATCCATAATCCCAGTTCCATGGGATCTGATGCTCTTTTCTGACCTCCATAGGCAGCAGGCACACTGGTGGTGTACATCTATGCAGGCAAAACATTTACATAGGAGAAAATAAATCCTTGGGCAAGAGAGATGGTCAGTGGGTAGGAGCACTGGCTGCTCTTCCAGAGGACCCTGGTTTAATTCCTAGCACCCATATATCAGCTTGCAACCACCTGTAACCCCACTCCCAGGGGATCCCACATCCTGTCTTCTGGCTTCCATTTTCACTGTTTTCACATGGTGCAATACACTCACAAAGAAATAAATAAATACCTTTTTTCTTTTTTGTTTTTTCAAGACACGGTTTCTCTGTGTAAGCTTTGGAGCCTGTCTTGGAACTCATTCTATAGACCAGGCTGGCCTCGAACTCACAGAGATCCACCTGCCTCTGCCCCGAGTGCTGGAATTAAAGGCAAGCATTGCCACCACCGCCACCACCACCTAGCAAATACTTTCTAAATTAGGAAAAAACTGTAGTTTTTAACAAAATATTGAATTTGTAGAAATTTTATTCATGTATGTGTTTTTGTTAAATGTTATATCAGTAATGGTTTTTTGTCTAGTTGCAGTAAACTCTTAAAACAGTTTTGCTAACAGGAATACACATTTTAGTTTGTTATATATTTTTAATTTAAAATACAATAACTTTTTGTTGAGAGTCAGCTTTTCAAGGCTGTGGTAATGAAGGCATATACTTTTTTTGGTTTTTTGAGACAGGGTTTCTCTGTGTAACTCTGGCTAAACTGAAACTCACTCTGTAGATCAGGCTGGCCTTGAACTCACAGAGATCTGCCTGCCTCTGCCTTCCAAGTGCTGGGATTAAAGGCATGCACCATTTTTTGAGACAGGAACTCACTATGTTACCCTGGATGGTCTGGAACCCCCTATATAGACCAAGCTAATTTTTTGAGACAGGGTTTCTCTGTGTAACTCTGGCTAAACTGAAACTCACTCTGTAGATCAGGCTGGCCTTGAACTCACAGAGATCTGCCTGCCTCTGCCTTCCAAGTGCTGGGATTAAAGGCATGCACCATTTTTTGAGACAGGAACTCACTATGTTACCCTGGATGGTCTGGAACCCCCTATATAGACCAAGCTAACCTCAAACTCACAGGGAAATGCTTCTCCAGTGCTGGGATTAAAGGGGTACACCACCGCATCTAGCTACATTTTAATTTTCCTACATATTTTTGTTCTAAAATTTAAATAAAGGGACATCTAATATTCATGAGACAAAAATATCTCATACCATGTCATCAGACTGAAGACTCAGGAAAATCTGAAAGGAAGTAAAAAGAATGCCAGGGCTAGAATAGAAACCTGACTTCTAGATCTGGCTGTGAATTGTTTCATGACTTCAGGCTTTTTTCTCAACTATAAAATGAAGATATTTGATTGAACGATCACAGGTATTTAACTGAGTTTATAGTTGCCCTAATTTTACCTTAAATCTTCGGATGAAAAATTTTTGTAGTAGTAACTTACATGGAGTTATGTGTGTGTGTCTGTGTGTATGTCTTTTTTGTTGTTTTTTTCGAGACAGGGTTTCTCTGTGGCTTTGGAGGCTGTCCTGGTACTCACTTTGTAGATCAGGCTGGCCTCGAACTCACAGAGATCTGCCTGCCTCTGCCTCCCAAGTGCTGGGATTAAAGGCGTGCGCCACCAACGCCCGGCTTTGTGTGTATGTCTTTTGAGACAGTCTTGCTATGATGACCATGATAGCCTTGAACTTTCAGTGATTCTCCTTTTCATGATTGTGATTACAGGCATATGCCACTATACCCAGCTATGAAGTTATTCCTATTTAAATTATATAAATTATAGCTGTTGATTTGATTACAAAAGAGCTTCTTTTGTTAAGATAGTTTATTGTAAAATTCAAAAGCAGTTTATGTAGATGAACAAAATTTAAACAAAATGAACATATAAAGTAAAACGTGAAAGATATTTCCTTATTCTTCCCTATTCCCATTCTCTAAAAATGACTTTTAACTAATATAGCCTAAAGCTCCCCTTCCCCTCCTCCCTCTCCCCTCTGTCCTCATACATATACATATAGGAATATCCACATATCCATATAGTTTTAAAA